AAATAACGATGAATAGAAATTGCCAAAAGGACACCATTCTCTATTGTGCTATATGTGCCTTGTGACTTCTTATCTGTAGTTTCAATAAAAGAAAAAAAGAAGAAATGTGGATATGAAAATAAAATACGATTGCCTTCAGTTATTCTTCTACGTTTGCAGTTTGTCAATAACAAAGGAATATGAAGTGATAAAATGGATGATAATAGATAGATGGAAAAGTATTGTGATAAGATGCTAGATATCATCGAAATGACCCTCTTTTTATATGTAGATTAATATGTCAGTTTTTCAACTGTCATTAAACATATATGTGGAATTAGTGCATTCATTAAACTTTGATTGTTTGATCTAGCTGTTACTTGTTTCGATATTTAATAATCTACAAGCATTTCAAAAACCGGTTTTAGATTGTCACTTCTACGTGATGGAAAGATCCATATTAACTCAGTATACAATCTATTCATTTTGTCGTATCTTTCATAAAAACTTTCCTTTAAATACTGACTTCTAATGTAAAAGATCTTCTTTAACATATTTGAAAAACGTTTTCTTATATCAATTTGAAGAATTGCTGACTTACTTTCAAAATCTTTGCATTATCTACTATCAGACGGATATATAACTTTTTAATAGTTTGTTAACTACATAGTATAATTTGTTTGGTAATCATATAAGTATCTATCTATAGCTTCATTAGATTAATCTCTTCACCAAGCTAATCAACTATTGATGCATCTATTATTTTTCTGATAAAAAAACGAATTAGCTCTATTACGCTTGATCAATCTGTAACTAAGTATCTAAACAGTTTTCAGAAATCAGATTGACACACGAAAATGTTCAGCAACACCCCTAAATATTTGCAAAGTATCTTTGAAATTTTTAGAAGCAGATAGTAGATTCATAACAAATAGAATTTTAAAAAAATTCTCAAACATCTCTAAATATAGCATTTGTGGTTACTTGATATTAGTGTTACGACCCATATACTTTGGAGTTAAATCGAGACAGCCATTGAAAATAGTGTAATCACGATTCCTGTATGTAATCTTCAATTGTGATATAGGTTTAACTCTGATCTGGCCAATTGGAATTCGTACGTGCCCTAGAAGAAAACTGGTGCTTCAAAGATGTGCCTTGTTTCTGTTCCTAATAGATAATGAGGAGGCGAAATCAGTTTATATTAATATTGTACACTATTGTTGTTTAAGGTAATCTAAACTGTAGCTGTAAAATCCGAATTATTATAATCAGGCAGCATTCGAGTGTGACTGGTAGAGTTAGGGAATTTTATAAGTGGAAAGATCAGGGATAAACAAGTTTGGAGCCATCAGCAGATCTGTTTCTCAGTATATGCGATCGAAACTAAATCAAGTGATGCTTTCATTTATAAAATTGACTAATAATTATTTAGGTTCAAAAACACTCTCAACTGAATAAATATCTAAATGCTGCACTATATGTTTTTTCACAATGTTTATTGACTAAGAAATGCTTTTCAAAATATAAAAACTTAGAACATTATAGAACCAAGTCATTACTCATTATTTAGAGATATAAAACATTATCGAATAAACTTAGTTTGATGATGATAGAAAGCATTTTTTGAAGACTTCTATTTGAACTTTTAGATAAATACTTCGAAAATCATTTCTCGTTTATGAAATTACACTAGAATGATGATAGTTGCACCTGGTTTCAGTGAGTGTTCGGTCGGTTTCAACAGATAAACCATATGTTTTACTTGAAAACTTCAAAAATCATCGAATCCTCAAATTAGAACATCGTCAATATACTACGTGTTTTATTCTGTAAGATTTTAGTTGGAATTGATTACATTGTTATTACTTAAGACATTAAAACTATCATGAAGTTTTTTAAAACAATACTTTTCTTGTTTATTATAGTATTATCTAGTGACGTACTCAATAATGAAGCATTGATGACTTTGTTGACCTATTTTAAGTGAGTAAACTGAATCTAAAATGTCATACAAGAGACAAAACCACTCTTGCATTCTCATAACAAGTGTGAAAGATTGTATCAATCGTTGTTTTGGTCAAATCCACTTGCAAAATAGCTATTTTAAGCTTCAATTTGATCTTTTCATCAAGTACACAATTTTTCTTTCGGGAACGCTTTAGAATTCCTTATGGATCTGTTAAAACTTGAGTATTAGTGCGTCCAGCAAAATCTATTGAAATTATATATTTACCCAACAAGTGCAATGATGATCATACAATTCCTCACACGAGGTAAATGTATGCAACGTTTTTGTTTAATTTTCTTTTTGCAAGGTTTATACAACAAGCATAGTCTTTAGATATAGACTATAGATTAGTTTAAAACGATGAAGAAGACTTTGAGCTGTCATTGATAAAAAATCAGAAAAAAACGAAGTACCAACCGCTCAAAAAAAACTTAAAACTTCAAAATTATATAAAAAATGGCTCAGAAGATACATTTTTCTCAATGGCATCCGTGAGATTACACATGAGGCTAAAGTGAGGTAAATGTGTAATCGCCAAGGACTACTCAAAGAACACCTTGTAGATAAGTGTGCTTAGAAGATTTTGAGAAAATTGTTTTACCGATCGATAGAACATGACAGCAAGTAAGAACTTTGTGAAGAACATATTTTTATAAAATGAAAAATAAAAAGGTTATAACTATTTTTCTGAAGACTACTGATTGAGCTCATGCATTTACCCAGTCTACTCAATAGATTTTTCATCATTGAAATAAACTTTTTCGAGCGAAGATTAGTTTTAGTACTTTCCAGTTTTCCGTATTTTCTAACCAAAAAATTTGTGGTAAAATGAAACAAGACGATCAGTCTATAGAGAATTTCATGCTCTATCAGCTTCCAGAAAAATTTTAGTTCTCTCAGTTGATCTTCACCTCAAAAATCTGCTTTTAACGAGAGTAACTGGAAAAAAACAGGAAAAGTTAAATTAGCTTCTACATATTCTTTCTCGCTGTATGCATGATACAACATTGAAAAGAGTGCATTCAAAACTAAAGAAAATGCTGTATATTGAAGTTCTAATTTCTCCGAGTTTTTACATCCATCTGTATGAGAAAACGTTCTCACAAACACAATTAACTTTTCTGTTTCAATTATTTTGATGGGGAGGATAGTCAATTTTTTCCGACAATTCTCATTCAAGCCAAGTTTTTGCGTTGAAGATCAACTCTGAGAACTTAACTTTCTTAAAGAAACTAATAGAACGTGAAATCCTCTATCGACTGGTCTACTATTTTTTGCACATTAGCGAAAATCTCTTGATTAGAAAATAGGAAATACTGGAAAGTATTAAAACTTATTTTCATTCGAAAAAAAAACATCATGTAGTCGACCTCTATTACTATCTATATCACCACTTCAATTAGATGAGTACCTCTTCATGTGAAAGCAAAATGGAATTAACAACAAATTTGTAAAAACAAACAAAAAAAGGTTGAAATAAATAAATTAATTCACTTAGTCTCCTGCCACCGACTGTATAAATAATTATATACTTATGATATTTTAACTAATATTCATTGTATCAAAGAATAACCGAACAACTTCGTAAATATGAAGTAAAGTTTCTATATCAAAATGTTCATACTAAAACAAAACCCTTGTTAATCCATTTTTCCTAGTTTTTTTCATATTGTGATTTTTATAGATGTTTCTATACATTTAACAATTTAATTAAAAAAAGTCATCTGGTAAAAAAAAAACAGTACGTCAAAATTGAAACATAAAACTAATTATAGTTAAGCTGATATAAATCGATCAATAAGATCAAATGCAGCTCTTGGTTGATCAGCTGGTACCATATGACCAGCATTTCGAACCCAAGCAACATAAAATGAATGTGCTTGTTTTAAATAACCAGCTACTTCTTTATCGTCCTCTTCAACTTTCCAAATTTTTCGTTCAGCACTTCGAAGTTCATTAGCATATTTCCATTGAAGTTTATCAACCCAATCCATAGTTACTGATGATGCTATAATAACATCAAGTAAACCATTATAAATAAGTACTTTATAATTGTCAGCAATAACAGCAACTTTTCCGGCAATCGATTGCATAACATCATTTGATAAACCTGTTCGAACTTTTTCACCATCATTATATGTCAAATTTCCGACATGAATTTTATGACGATTTTCACTTGCTGTTACCCATGGTACATAATAACCAAATGCATCTGGTAATTGTGTTAATAAATAATTATAAACATCATTTAAACCAGTTGAATTAGAATAAAATGCATCAAATAAATTACCAAAGATGTCATAAGCCAAACTATATTGTTGTAATCGAATAGCATTTCGTGCTAACAATGTTTGTAAATTAACATATTCAAGTTGGCGTTCATCAATTAATCCAAATTGATACATTGCTGGCCCATAATCCCATTCATTATATGGATCTATAAGACCATCACCAATAGCCATACCTTTAAGATTGATTTTTACTTTAGCTTGAGGATTTTCAATATGAATTTTATAAACTATAGCTGGTACATATTTTCCACCATAAGATTCACCAGTAACATAGAATGGACATAATACATATTCATTATATAGTTGAAAGAATTGTGTTAACATTGAATATAAATCACGAGCTACTTCATCTTCATTACGTACATAACCTTGTTCACTTTTAGTAAAACTATAACCTGTTCCAACTGGTTGATCAATATAAAGTAGATGATATTTTGAATTCCATGTTATATCATTTGGATGAAGTTTTTTTTCTTTATCAACCATAATTGGACCTTGTTCAGCAAATAAACCAAATAAAGATGATGAACCTGGTCCACCTTGTAACCATACAAGTAATGGTGCATTTGTATTACCATTTTGTGAAGGAAAAAACCAGAAAAATAAATTACTTTGATGAGTTTTATTGACTGTTA